GGAGGGCGGCGGGCGCAGGGCCGGCCTCCCGCTCCCCGCACGCCCGCCCCGGCCGCTTGGGCTCCGCCCGGCTTGGCTGCCTGGCTGCACCCCGCCCGCTAGTAGGAGCTGCTGGGGGCCACGCCACGCCTAGAGAATGCTGCAGTCTGCACCTTAGACGCTTTTTAGAAGTTTTGAGATTACCTTGATTTTTTTAATTGTGATGAAAAACGAGCCTTTTCTTGCCTCTCCCACACGCCCTGTTAGCGGGAGAGACCCCCCCACTCCGATGTGTAGACCGTTCCCCCTACACCAGCCGAACCAGTGTCAAGGTTAATAAAGAAATTGACTCGGCGCCGGGCTCCGTCTCTCCTTCCTGCTCGTCTGGGGGGGCTTGAGGGGCAGAGCGGGCAGAGCTGGGCTGGGGGTGCAATCTGTCAGCGGGGAGGGGGGCCTCCTCCTGGGGGGCCGGGCAGCCCGTCAGTCAGGACCACCCACCCTAGGAGAAGCCCCCAGAGAGGTGGCAGAGCAGATTCCTGTCCCCCCTGCCGGCTACCATGGGATGGGGGGACGTTGGGGGTTGGGGGAGGGGCCCCCACGGGCCACCAGGGTACTTGGCCAGGCCCCCCACCCCAGTTCATGCAGTGAGGGGGACCCCCCCAACACTCCCTGCGAAGGCATCCGGCCCCTGCATTCAGTGCCATTCGAAGTTCAAGAACTTGCTCCTTAGAACGCAAGTTTGAGGTTGAAAAGCAAGGAAAAGTAGAAAAAAACCCACACACAACACACACCAGCGTGGGCAGCCGCTGCCCTGAGCGTCCCCGTCGGGTCCCCTCGCCGTATTCTGCGCTCTGCCGGAGCAAATGGCTGCACTTCTGTCTGCTTGGGGCCTGGGCTGAAGCTCTGGTGGCCAGAGGGCCACCCTCGGTGCCGGGCCTTGGTTGGACTCAGTATATGTTTGATGCATGGGACTGGATTGAATCACAGAACCCCCCCCCAACTTTTTTTCCCCTAATGAGATCTTTATAAAGCACAGGGCTGTACTGAGCAATGCTCATTTTACAAACAGGGAAACTGAGCACAAAGGAGTCCCGAGCCCAATTTTCCAAGTACTTGGGTTATTTTTATGGTTGAGCAGCCATTCCTTTCCTGGAGTTTTTCTTTAGAAATGGAAACCAGCATGCCCCCCTGGGCTGAATGAGCCAAAATGTTGGGGCAATAGTGACTGTCGGACAGATGGACTTCTGTCCCCCCCCCCTGGCCCCCGGCCCCCCAGGTGGCCCCAAAGCCCTTCCTGGCCGGTCAGCTCTGCAGGCTGGGCTGCCAGCTCTCACGACAGCATGGGCTGCGCTTAGGCAGGTGCAGCAGGGGGCTGTGTTTCCGCCGCTTCTCTTTGGCTACCGAGCCCAAGAGCTCTCCTGGGGCCTCGGGCTCAGGAGGTCTCCTCTGCACGCAGACACAGCTCCGGCCCCCGCTCTCTGAGAATGGCGATTTTAGGTTCATGCAAGGAGGCCCTCACAAAGGGTGGGACACGATTTTTTGCAAGTTGGGCTAAAAAACAAGAAAAAAAAAAAGCTGCTTCTTCATCTGAGCTGGCTGTGCTACCGGGCTGCGCACACACCCCTGGGGGCTTAACTCTGGACTCCCAGTGTGGCCACCATATCCCACCCAGGTAGCTGTGCATTCCTGAACCTGCGTTTTTAAAGAGCCCCCCCCCCACCCGGGCCACCCCGGGCCATTGGGCAGTGTCATGGCCCACCGGCGCGCCGGAGTGGCCTTGCAGACTCCGAGAAGGTGCCTGCGTGGAAGGGGGCTGAGGGTCCTCTGGGGACCTTGGGACTGTGACTCGGTCACCCTCGTGATGAGGATTTACAAGGCAGAAAAGCTCTGGCCAGCCACTTGCCTTCTTAAGTAACGCCACACCTGACGAAGGTGCTGGTGTCTGGGAACCCCAGGATGACAAACCGGCGTGACTTTTGCAATCGCTAAATCCGTTCCCCCGTCTGACAGGTGCGGAAACTGACGCTGGCTTGGTGACTAGCCTTGCAAGAAGTGACAGGAAAGCGGCCGTTTTCTCTCTATAGAAGAGAGCAAGTTTTTTGTTTTTGT